CAGCATGACGGTGATTATGCCATGGTTGAATATGATGACATGGTTGGGTCTGGTTGCATATTCTTGTGTGGCAGGGTCTTCTCGCAAGGTTCAGGGATGACGACACAGAGCTCCGGAGATCTTCGTATTTTATTGGTTGTTAGGGCGCTCTTCATTTTTTGTTTTTTTGTGTGTGTTAGGGTGTGCTTTTACGGGTCAAGGACTTTGTATTATTTCGTGATTTGAATACAAGCATACTATCTAAAAAAAGTCGGTGTGGGTAACAAATTTTAAGAAAAGTACTATGCTACATGTGTTGAAAATGAACAAGCGTGCACCAGCACAAGTGGATAAATACCACACTATGAAACATCATCATGGATACAATGTCGGGCATATAAACCTCTTAGCATCAGTAACTACAGTGATGGTCAATGGATGTCAACTATATAATAAAAAGGTAGAGATCATTTTGTATGTGAATTAGTTGTATAGGCTTGAAAGGCATTGGGAATCGTTTTATGACGAAGTGGTCTAAGTACACGAGTAATTTGGTCCCCTCATCCTCCACAACTTTTGGAGTACCTTGGCGTCATATTCAAATTTGTTGTTACGATATGATCGACCTTACTCCAAAACAATGCTCGATTAGGCATGCTTAGGATTTCCATATAATCCATCCCCTGGGGTTGTGTGTTGAATTTGCTATCATCATTACTATTTAGCTAAGTTGTTCATGATGTGAATTGCTATTACTCATGTACCTGTGGGTGCAATACATGTTAACATATGAAAGTTGAGTAACTGATTTATGAGTATCTTCTTTGTTGCTATATTCTTGATTATAAAAGAGGACCTTTAACTACCGCTATTCATGATATTAGATGGTACAACATGATCCACTGTGCTCGTTTATAAGTGCATCTAAAATGCATGCTCTCAACTTCAAAAGAAATATAAACAAATTGGTTGGACAAAAAGATAAAACACGACGAAGATGTGAATCCCAACCCACAAGAGGCCGAATTTACTGGCACCATAACCGTAAGTTTCACTTTAAGCAGTACCATCTCTTTGTCGTCTTTCATCCCGTATCCCATGTATAATAAAAAAACACAACCTTGTTAATGACAAAACTGAAACATCCTTCCTATTACTTGTGGTAATTCTGGACATAAAACTCTTAGTTGTAAAATATGCACGATATTTGCATGTATTTTTCTTCAGAGTAGCTGAGCACCACGATTTCACCACGAGCAATATTGCCAACCATAGAGAAGAGAGTAATCATGCGTACTGTTTATAACATAAAAATATAATACCATAATGAATTATTATCTCAAATCTTATGCCCATGCATTATCAAACTGATGCTTTGAACTCTGGAATGACAACAGTGTCCATGCCATCTACTAATCCATTCACCACCAGTCACATGTTTTAGTGATGTTGCATAATCTTTGAGGTGAAGCTGAATCATTTGATTCAGTGGACATGACTAAAAATGTGTGAGTTCAACTCATAGTAAAAAACAAAAACTATAGAAAGTGTTTAAGAACCTATTCCAACTAGTAGATGCTATTATCCATGTCTACAAGATGCTAATCAAATATATGTCACATGAACGCATTATCCATCATGGCATCTACTTACTTATGATGCACCTGGCCTATAACTCAATGGATGATTATGCTAATGTACACACATAAGGGACATTTGCAAACAAAGACACATAGAACATCCATATTGATTTTCTTTATTAAATTTCTATACCAGGCACCCAATATACGTATATACTATATTGCTCACCTCATTTTCCTTTACCCCGACTATCACCTAGAGTTTCCACTAGGTTTTTTTACGTTGAGTTTCCATTAGGGTTAATGATGGCTAGGGAGCCACTTTGGTGTTGTTAAGGTCGAGCCTGAACAATTAATCAACTCCAAAGTTTTTGAGGTCGGTTTCATCAATTTAGACCAAGAAAAAATGCAGAATAGTCGCCAATGTTATTACAGGAACAAAACAAATCACTGATATCATCAATTCCGCTTAACAACCTAAATTCAAAAGGAGTTTTATTTTTCTCTGAAAATTAGTACTTGAATACTAGCTTTTGTGAACTTCATGTTGTAAGTAACTGCAAATGCAAAAAGTTATGATCATACACATCCTCATGAAAACAAATCGGTACATTTGAATATCTTACGACTCAATGTTTAAGTTGAACAAAAATTCCAGGGATAGCTTGATGTACATTGATAAATTTTTCCTAATAAGTTTTCTCTAAAGTGAGAAGAAAGTTTTTTGAATATAGGTTGCTAATGTAGTTAGCTGAAATCAACCATCTACTTTGTAGCCCATTTGACATCTTCCTCAATCATCTCCGCCTGACGCAATTTGCACATTTGCTATTTTTGTGAACTCAATTTGAACATGTCATCATCTTATAGGGAAACTAAAAAATATAGTTTGTTGAACTACATTGACGCCCTCCAACCTGCCGTGGTGAAGCCCAACAACATACAAAAAGAAAGGCACCCAGAGGGCATGAGGGCATTACACCACTAGATTTTATCAGCAAGCAAGGAGGAGTTGGTTCGAAGAATGTCTGTGGATGGCGGCTGCCTGATGTGCATTGGATCAAACTTATCCTTGATATACCTTTTTTCTCTGGTACAAGTCAAGCTATTGTTGATTTTATAGATCATGATCATTTAGGGGTAGTGGTCTTCTCAGCATGGAGCCAACTGGAGTGGTGCCATGATGTGGAGGAGATAAATCTCTACCCTATCTTGTAGGTGTTCACCCATGTGTCGACTTCATCCAAGCTTTATGGCGTGCGACTACTTAGGCATCGTGGTAGCCCTATGTCCATCAATAGAGGATCGTTCGAGATGTTGTGGGATTTGCCAAGGGATAAAGGCATGTTCGAGGCAGATGGTGAACTTTAAAAGTCATAGGGAAGTCCCACGAGGGAGCAATGTTGTCGGACATGACCTTGCTGCTCATCCCAGGCAGTGTGTTCAAGTGAGGTGTGACACTCACGAGTTACTCCGGCAATTTTTTTCCTCCATTTATTTTTCTTTTTTCTTTTCATATGATTTGTAAGAACTTTATGATTCGTTAATCCTAAAAAGGAAAAAATAGCAAATAATTC